ATTTAAACAGCCGTGTTTGTTAAGACTGATTACTGTTACTAAGTTGCATAGTTACTATAAATATTTGTAATCACACACACCCAATTTGGCAATAATTGCTCTCTGTCCAGACTAAGTTTTCATGACGAGCCAAAACACATGTCACTCCTGTCCCTCTCCTTCCTACTATCCAACTCTCCTTCCTACTGGGAGCAGGGGAAGAGACTAACAAGCCTGCCAGCCAAGCCCCACACAGGCTTAAAGCTCAGGTTTGGGAATGGAAAACCATATACGTTGTGGGTAAACAGTCTCATACAAAGACAGAAAGAGCTGCCTGATAAGGACCAAGGGCATATAGAATCAAATCATAGAATTGTTTAGGTTGGAAAGGACCTTTAAGATCATCAAGTCCAACTGTTAACCAGCACTGCCAAAATATGCTGTTATCTATTTTGTAGAGTAGTGGTTTACTTATACAAGTGTTCTTTAAGCAGACAGAAAATTCACATCCAAAACAGGCCCTCAGCTCCTAACTGCTTTGCTGCAGATCACCTGCGATCATCCATGTGATGCAAGACAACCCAATGCTTGCTTTAAAATATTTCCACTTTATGAGCACCTTTTCCTTGCTACGGTCAAACAGGCACTTGCACCGCTTTGGCTTATTAAAACCCTGCCCTAAGCGAGTTTTCCCTTCTCTGTTCAGATATATCATGCTTGATACAGCTGGGCGGCACGGCATCATAGGCACCACCTGGGATCCAGCCACAGGTTCCTCACAAACGCTTTAAATTATTAAAATCTATTGTATTTACTATTTCTACAGTGCATAACTTTTGGAATATATTGCATCTTTGGGGGGGAAAAAAAAAAAAAAACAACAACAAAACAAAAAACAACCACAAAAGAAAAAAAAAGAAAAAAAACCACAAAAACCCCAAAAACTATAATAAGCACTTGGGTCTGTTCTCCGCTCTAGTTTAAAAGACTGTGCCCCAGATCCTGACGAATTTCCAGCTCCGTCCCACAGGAAGGACCAGATTTCACACCGTTCTGGGGGCCACGTTCTCCTCAGGAACGCGTTCCTCCTCGGCCCCGCAGGAGCAGGCAGGATAAACACTTTCAACCTCTCTTCAGTAAGAAAAAAAAAAATCAGGGAACATGCTACATCTTAAACAATAAAACAGCGACTTTTAAAAATTCATGCTTTGATAATACTGTTCTGGGCTTAACTATCCTTTTTTCCATAGGACAGAAAATAGAGGCATGAAGCAATTCAATCAGTTTACGATGAGTACTATTGATAAAGCCCACAAGTGACAGATCCTGACCCCCCTGATTTATCCCAAGTTAAACACACTCCAAACAAGCAGTAAAAAAAAAAAAAAAAAAAAACAAAAAAACCAGTATATCTGCATAACAAGTTGCTCTGATAAGCAAGAAATTAAGATTCATAAGTTTTAGTGAATTCTGTGTTTCACTGCGTTCACAAAGAAACATAATTTGAGAACGGTCTCAGAGTTTGCCCACCAACATCCCTCAGTTAAAACTCCTTCAGGAAAGTTCATTCTAGAGACTTCTCAGACAGCAAACACTGCCCGTGGGTTAACTTTGCTAACGCTACTCATCTGCCACCTGTTCTACTCTAAATGCCTAAGACCACTGAACCTGCTTTAAAAGTCTGTATGTTCAAACAGAAGGAAATTTCATCGTCCTTTATCTGACAGCCGTCTTTCATGGACTGGTGCTTCTCAACCCAGGTATCTTAGATGTGTACCAGTTATAAACCTTTTTCTTCTTGAAACAAGCCTCCCGTGTACAAGTATTCACCCCCTCTCCCCTAACAGCAGATTTCTACAAGTATATAAAAAAAATTCCAAGAAAATATGACGAAATAACTCTAAATTTTGGCACAAAGTTCCTTCACTCAGCTCAGCTGCTGTTCAGGTACAGTATAAAACCCAGCTAAATGCTTTCAGGCTTTTGCAAGGTGCAGACTTGTGCTACAGGAAGGTACCAAATCTCGTTCCTCATATCAGACGTACTCTCGTCTCCCTTATTCAAAGTGTGTGACCCTAAAAGAGAAGAACAAGCACACACAGAACTACCTACAGTGCCTGGGCTCAAGCCAAACAGTGAAAAAAACGAGTTTGGTAAACACACCTTTACAAAGAGCGGGCAAGCAGAAAACCTGCTACACCATTGCAGGTGCAGTCAGCAAACCAAGCCAAAATAAAACCTCCCCAACTAAATCGCCCGGCATTTGTTACAGACGGGCTATGGCACAGCTAGCTGCCCCTCCGCTTTATATTCCGAGCTTTTTAGAGCTTGCAGTGGAGTACCTACAGGAAACCATTGACATTCTTGGACCAAAAGGTTAATTATCACTCCCCAAATCCCCACAGGAGTTACAAGTGGATTAGAAGCAGAAACAGAGTAAGCAGCAGCTCTGGAAGGGACATGAAAGCATTAAATACAGTCAGCAGTAGTGGACATTAAGTGTGGGAAACTTAAAAAAAAAAAAAAAAAAAGGCAGTGCTAGAAATGCCAATTTGGGTAGTCTAGAGAAGAGGGATTACTGTCAAGCAGGCAGAGACATTCCTAGCCCTGCCCCATACAGCTCGGCAGCTCTTATCCCCAGGAAGATGAAACAATTGAATGTTCCTATGCAATTGTCTTACAATACAGGACTGCTTACTGGCAGCGTTGCTTTTTGCATCGCTCTCCATCTGGCTGCTGGTAAAGCTAAGGTGTCTTACCAGCTCCGGTCTGCTCTTTTCTATATGTATAAGAACTGATCTTTTGAGAAAAGCCGTTTCTCGGAAACTCAGCATTTCTAGGTACAGCTGATAGCACAGCTCTACCACGGCTGAGCGTTCACGTATCCAGTAACACGTAAGGGTGAGCACCAGCAAAAGCACCCAGAGCATCTCCTCAGAAGCAAGTACTGTCCGCCCCAAAGCACGAGGCGCTGATCTGCGTGCTGGCCACGCCGCAGGCTGGAGAACTCTGCCCGCCTCGCCTCCCCCCAGCTCAGCTGCGATGCTTCCTTACCACCAGCTTCTAATAGAGACTGCAATTACGCCCTGGAAAAGCCCATATCCTTATAAAACTAGCACCTCTTTATGGAGTAATATAAACCATCTTTCTTAAGGAAGTCATTCTTAGGCGAATCTAATCTGAAGGCTCTTCCTGCCTTACAAGTAACAAAGATAAATCTCCTTCAACAAACACGTAACATTTGCTTCTACATTACGTAACAAATCATGTTAAGAACAATTAACGTAGTCCATTTGCTGCTATCATATGCAAAGGTCAAACAAAGCATTTATTCCAATTTCATTCCATTTTAGAACTGTACTTTTAAAAAGCGAAGACCTCAACCAAAGCTTCAGGAATAAGATGAAAGCGATAAAGCATAAAGGCAGCTAAGCTTTGCAACATATGAGGGCACATCCAGACTAGAGGCCAAAAAAAGTCTCACAGAAAACTGGTATTCCAGCTACAAGTACTTAAGGAGATACAGTGATGAGGTCTACAAGCATCATCCAACAAACATTTATGCAGAAAAGGAACCTGGCCCAGAACTGTTCTGCTGAGTCATATTTGCATAGCACAGCAAAAGCAAGAAGTAACGCACTTCCAGTATGTCAGCAATTCTTTTTACTCCAAAATATTAGATGAGAAGCTAGTTTAAAGGCAATGGAGGCATCCACCCACCAAGCAAGGCTGCTGAATCATCGCTGATAGGGAAATTCAAAGATTGACTTAGAGCCCCATCTCAAAGGAGGGCTCAGAAAGCTTCATGTATTCTTTCTGTAATACGGAAGGACTCACTGGACAGTCTAACCAGAGAAATGGTTTCCAGCAAGGAGGAAAGCGCATATTTAAAGAACAATTATCCCATCCAGTATCAATAAGATTGTTCCTTCACTTAGCATATTAATATTGGACTTGGTAAATAGAGCCATTAAAAGCTTTCTTTTCTATTTTTTCAAGTTGAAGCACACTGTGCAGAAATCACTTTAAAAAAAATCACAGTAAAGCAAATCTGTATCATAACGAGAACACAGATAAGCAAACAGACTTAGAAGCTTACAAGAAAAGCGGAAATTATTCTTCCTCTCGAGGTTGGTGTAGTTCAAAACACAGCTTGGAGGGAGGAACAAATGATCAAGGGTATGAGAAGTAACAGAATGACATTTTATATTGATTCATGAAGGACAGCTTATTTCTACCTTGGTTAAAATACTTTGCTGAAATGTCTCAAATCAGGAGGGAACCAAATTGAGTAACACAGAAAAAAATGCTAGGCTAGAGCTCTACAAAGAGAAGGATTAACCCAAGATGACAGGTTTGGGAACGTAACAACTATCAGCTTGAATCTCCAGGCTGTATCCTGACCTGAAGGCATCATTCTACCTACTTCTAATCAAGCTTATTAGAGAATATCTCCCAGAAAAATATGAAAGGAACTATAAACTTGCCTTCCTTCAAAAGCCCACTCAAAATTCACTTCTGCTTCTTATAATGAAGCACAGGGTAATACATCGGACTGCCAGGATCAGGATATTTAGGTAAGCAAAGAATACCAGACATCACAGGACTCTTCAGTTCCCCATTTTCCCCCCCCCCCCCCCTTTTTTTTTTTTTTACAACCTCAGCATTTTTGCTTTAAGTTCTTAAAATCTTATCACAGATACTAGCAAGATGTCCTGACAACAGCTAGCACAAGTAAATCATGAGACTAACTTTCTGCAAAGCTCTCAAATATGTAGCATTTATAGCCATTATTTCAGTCCCATTATTTTAACTTCAATGACCACATATGCAAATAATCACATTAAATTTAATGGCACACTTAAAGCATTGCTTTTAATGTCTTTCCAGCATAAGGGCAGATTTCTGCCTTCCAGGAAATAATCTGCCCTCCCGAGTGCTACGGAAAACCATCTTCAACACCCCTTGGGGGCCCAGAAGTAGTTTATTTAAACCAGCCGTTTTCTGCAAAGCTCACTGACCTGCTGTGATCCATCGCCATTGACGATGTGAGGCATCATGGCTACCTCCCCGTTCAGCAACGGTGGCAGCTCCAGCGGAATTTGGTCGGTCATCATCATTGTGACGTACATTCATGGAGAATTTTCCTCAACGGGCTTCCTGCAAGAGAAGCATCAGTTAAAGATCCTGGAAAACCCACTTGTACTTTAGAAGGTCACCAGCATCCACATGGATTTTGCCATTAAGGTAGCAACTTAAGCAGGACACCTGCTTTTGTAACAGGATGCATACGGGAACTCGAGGCACTGAACGGAGGTTTTAACTGTTAGATCAAGAGCATGGAAAGTCAAGTTTCCATGCAAGACTTCCAAAAACCAGCTAGCCAGATTTCCACCCTTTCCCACAATTATAATCCCCAGCCCTCATCGCACCGCTGAAATAGGCAAGTTCCGAGACACTCTGAGGGAGATTTGCTGTGTTCCTAAAAACGAGCATCCTGCTTGCTACCACAGCTCTTGGAACCACAACATCCGTGTGGTTAAGACGCTACATCAGTCTCACTTGATAGCCACGGTTCAAAGCCAAACACCTTTATTTCCTTTCTAGGGCCCTGTAAACGGCGTGAACTCCCACCCATAACACAAAGAGCAGGCGCCTGACTTCCACTTAATCACAATCCAAAGGATTAAAGTTTTTGCTGGAACCAGAGGGACAGCACATCCCCACACTCCGAACACCTTGCACTAGACAGAGGACAACAGAAGATGATCTCGCTTAAGGATTTGTGAAGAATCACATATCACTTCCAGCACACCCTCCCCTTTCACAGCTAACTGATGTGATATGTAAGCATCACCAAAACCACAGGGAGATTGCTTTGTAAAAACAAGTCTTAATTCAGCATTAAGGGTACCATCATACTGTTTTACGGGGCAGTAATCCAGTTCTTCAGTGAATAAGATGGATGACCTAATCACATAGCTTATCTAGACTTCTGCACAAGAACTCCTAAGCAAACCAACCTTACGGATCCAGTGCTGGTCAGGCAGCCTCATTTGTACCTCTCATGCCAGAGAATCCCAAAGTCCTCCTGAATAATTTCACGTACATCACAAATTCGAGTTAGAAAAAAAAATATGCTGATAACAGCCAGGTAACCGGCTGGCAAAAGACCACCAGAGTATAGAGAGGGGAATTTTTGGTGAAGAGCAGCAGGTAAATCCCCCCTCATGAGGGGGGTGTTGTGGGATCTAGTAGTTACACGGAGCACTTCACTACAGAGCCATACACCAGGGCTTTAATTCTTCTGCTCCGGAGGGGATGAAGGGCTGAGCCAGCCTCACCAGGGCTGGAGCATACGGTTCCACAGATGCTGCATGCTGCAAACCTACACCCCTGTACCTGGTCTGCCCCCAGGTGCTGCTAGGCTTTAAATTTAGACCTTTCTTTTTTTTAAAAAAAAGTTTAACAACTAAACCAATAGTTTAGTTGAAATAAGCACTCTTCATTTTTGTCAACCTCTTCCAGAGCTCGTTGCAATCCCATCACCTGCAGAGCGACTTGATGATCAGAAACATCAGCCTGACCAGGAGCTGTACTCCAACTCCTGAAGAGGACCACTTGTGTGAATTAAAAGTGATGGCGGTGCCCACGCGGACTGAATTACATCTACCCTTTCATTCCTATCACACAGGCCCCCTTCACATCCAAATAGTACTGGAAGACTAAAAGTGCATTTGGTTTTCAGAAGACATGCCAACTTAGTCCTGTTACCTCCAGCCATACATCTCAAGACCAGCATTTTAATTTAACTCAGTACCAAATTTAGCACGACTCTCACAGCTCTTTCCGATGTTCTTATCCACGTGAAAACACCACTTTTCTAATCATCACTTCACAGAGATATAAACGGAGGCAATCTATTTTCATCCACCTTTAAATGAAATCTCTCCTTTTATTCGAGACTCAACTACAGGACAGAGGTTCTCGGAAAGCTCCAGAGACAGTTGTCCAGAGGATGGTACATCCACAGCCGGGTTTCAAGTCCCATCTCCTGCCTGCATCAGCCACTTTGTCCCAGTCTGGCAATGTTTTAGTCCTACTGTCACCACTAACCTGAATAATCTGCCCTGCAGTGCATACACCCATGGAGTAAGGAATAAGGACACTTGCTAAACACTCCTGTAGCCCACAGGATCAAACTCTCTGATCCGGCACGGGTCTGTCGGTGACCAAAGCCTCCCTGGCTTACTCATTCAAAGCTCAGACCCAACCATTACACGAGCTACAGCCATCAGTCCGACAGCCCAGAAGCTTTGTTCAACGCATTCTCTCCCTGAAGTTTTGCAAGATTTGGAGCTTCTTCCTAAACCTTTTGCTTCTCATTACTTCACAGTCTCGGGTTTTAATTTTGAGAAACATCCAAGTCCACCACCAATATTCGTAGGTGTTGGGTTTGGGGGTGGAGGGGAAGGAGTGGGGCAGTGTGATTTGGGTTTTTTGGGACTTTGTTTGTTTGTTTAAAATTATGAGGAAGAAGAGAACATGTGAGTTTTTGAGTCATTTCTTAAATACTTTGGATTAAGAAAAGGACTGAAAAAGCCTAATACTGAACACCAGTGAGAACATAGGAGCTTTCAATGGAAACAGACTGATTTAGTCAATAATCAGTTGTACCTCAGAACCACATTGGTCATACATGTAGTTATCTATCTATAGGTTTTGTGTGTATATACACATTTATATTCATATATAAATAAATGTTATTTTTAAAGAACGCAATGTGCATAGGAACTATTTTAAACCCATGTAAAACAATACCCCCCTTCCCCAAATAAATGACACGTTCATCTAGTCTGAATCTGAAAGCCCCAGCTTTAACCGAGTTTAAGTGTCACGCTGATGCTATTTTCTTAAGGAAAAAGTGCCAGACTGTAGCTTGAAGCCGCATATTTTCCTAGTAATATTTCCATTCCAGGCACAACAACCAATATGTTGACATTTATTTGCTACATGTCATTATTTAAAGTTTTACAGCTGCATTCCTTTTGCTTTATTAATGGTTTGTCACTACAGCCATGTCTACGCTTGCCTCACTTTAAAGGGAAAAAAAACAAAAGAGAAATAAAGAGGGCTTCCTTTATTTGTCAGGTCTGTTATGACCCCGCCAGCGGTGATGCCAGCAACAGCACTGGCTACAAAGCACAGCTGGCCACAGGCATTTTTTTAGCAGTATTTCACATAGAGGTACTCCATTCAGAGTTAGATCTGAGACAGGGTTGAAATATCTACCGTGAGACTGGCAGACTTCACACCAAAGCCAAAACCTTTGGAAATGGGCTTCACGCACTTTTTTGAGTTTATTTGCTCATCCATCCTACTTAAAACAGATTTCTTCACCATGCATTCACACCCCTCCTAAAACCTACCTCAGGGGATGCTCATATAAGCAAGCTTGATTAATACAAAGAAGGTGAGGTCTGAACACAAGCACTTTCTGCTTCCTGTAAATTCAGGAACATCGATAGATGAAAACACCAGACAAGGACTCAAAGAGCCAGGTCACATTTCAGGATATGAGAACTCTTCCTTTGCTAAAATATGAACTGCCAAATACTAACCCACAGCTTTTTTTTTTTTCAGGTACTAACTCAAATTTGGGGTTTTGTCTAGAAAGCTGACTATATTTAAATTTAAAAAAGATATTTCCTGTGCGTCTACATTCCCTAGGTTTGGCTGGGACGGACCACAGCAATGCCAACATGGAGCGAGAAGCTGCATCTCCCTGCCTAGCTACCTCCAGGAATATGGGAAATCACAGCTTCCCGTCTTGCCATAGAGCAAGGAAGAAGAAATAACCATCCAAGTTGGATGTTTCTCTCCCCAAACCAAACTTCCAAACCTTTTGACGTTTGCAAGTTACTGTTACAAACCTGATTTTCAATTCAGTACTGCAGTCTTCTACTGATCCCAGAGATGACTGTTTCCTTAAATTAATTCAATATGTGAATTAGTAATACATAAATTAGTTGCACATGGCACTAGAAAGAAAATTAAAACACTCAGAAGAACAAAGCGTAACTATGTAAAAACCAATGTCCATGTATGGCGAATTAATGTGACCCAACAGGTTACGTCAGAGTTCTCCTGAAATTCCAAAAGCAGTGTGAACCACATCAAGATACCCAAGTCCTGCTTTTCCTAGAAGGTTTCACCCATGCTATTAATAGGGCTATAAGCCAAGAACATTCTTCTTTTTGTGACTTTTTTTTTTTTTTCTACCTTCTGTCTTTTATGAAGCCGAAGAACCTCTTCCAGCTATGGCAGACAAATTCAGAGAACCTGGCAAAAGCAAGAGGAGTTCTGAATATTCAGTCCTGTGACAGCTCTCTGCAAATTTTTATTTCCCTGCAGCAGACCATTAAAAGCTACTGAACAAAGTGTTCTGCTTTTTTATCAGAATCATCTGGAATTACAGAAGTTGTACTACAAAGATGACAGACAGCTTTCCGATACCTAGCAGAGCCACATAGCCTCGTTTATTTAATATACAAAGAAAAATCCAGTACTAAACACGCATTTGAACTCATGCAGTGCTTACTTCGGGTTATTCCATCTGATTAGAAAAGAATATACTGCATAAAGAGTAAGAAGCTACACCACCTTCAATCCTAGCATTACTACAGAAAAGATCTGAAACACATACACTGTAAAACTTTAGAAGGAAGAATTTTCTCTTTCCAGCCTAAAAAAAAACCACCTTACTCATTTCAACATGATGAAGTTCATAGATAGACGGTGCACACACACACACACAAGCCCAAACAGTGCATGCAGCAGTTAATAAACAAGCAAACAAAAACTCCTCAGATTTTCTACAAGATTTCCCTTCAGGCACGACGAGCAATTTGTCCACGGCCCAGCCACCTCCCGAACCAGCTGCATCCCTGTACGAGACCATCCGTTTCCCAGACTGCTTCCCATGAGATGAAGCTCAAATGCTACTCAGCAAGGTCAACCATCAGAGAAAGCCAGAGGCGCACTGGTGCTCAGCCTTCCCTTCCTAAATTTAGCATAAATGTCTAATTGTCACGATCAGTAGCCATAAGCTATCCTGCCTTTGTAACAAACT